CCCCTGGTGGGCCGGGCCCGGTCGCAGCCGCGACCTCTGCGACCCTGGTATGTACGCCACTGACGGTGTGACATAACTGGTCAATACTAGGTCCCCAGTGCCTCTAAACTATCCCATCATTATATCTGCAATAATGCAGACTGAGATTAATATAATAGATCGGATAAACATACAGTTGCAAGAAAAAGTATGTGAACCCTTTGGAATGATATGGATTTCTGCACAAATTGGTCATAAAATGTGATCTGATCATCATCTAAGTCACAACAATAGACAACCACAGTCTGCTTAAACTAATAACACACAAAGAATGAAATGTTGCCATGTTTTTATTGAACACACCATGTAAACATTCACAGTGCAGGTGGAAAAAGTATGTGAACCCTTGGATTTAATAACTGGTTGAACCTCCTTTGGCAGCAATAACTTCAACCAAACGTTTCCTGTAGTTGCAGATCAGACGTGCACAACGGTCAGGAGTAATTCTTGACCATTCCTCTTTACAGAACTGTTTCAATTCAGCAGTATTCTTGGGATGTCTGGTGTGAATCGCTTTCTTGAGGTCATGCCACAGCATCTCAATCGGGTTGAGGTCAGGACTCTAACTGGGCCACTTCAGAAGGCATATTTTCTTCTATTTCAGCCATTCTGTTGTTGTTTTACTTTTATGCTTTGGGTCATTGTTCTGTTGCAACACCCATCTTCTGTTGAGCTTCAACTGGTCGACAGATGGCCTTAAGTTCTCCTGCAAAATGTCTTGATAAACTATTGAATTTGTTTTTCCTTTGATGATAGCAATCCGTCCAGGCCCTGACACAGCAAAGCAGCCCCAAACCATGATGCCCCCACCACCATACTTCACAGTTGGAATGAGTTTTTAATGTTGGTGTGCTCTGCCTTTTTTTCACCACACATAGTGTTGTGTGTTTCTTCCAAACAACTCAACTTTGGTTTCATCTGTCCACAGATTATTTTGCCAGTACTGATGTGGAACATCCAGGTGCTCTTGTGCAAACTGTAAACGTGCAGCAATGTTTTGTTTGGACAGCAGTGGCTTCCTCTGTGGTATCCTCCCATGAAATCCATTCTTGTTTAGTGTTTTACGTATTGTAGATTCGCTAACAGGGATGTTAGCATTTGCCAGTGACTTTTGTAAGTCTTTAGCTGACACTCTAGGATTCTTCTTCACCTCATTGAGCAGTCTGCGCTGTGCTCTTGCAGTCATCTTTACAGGACAGCCACTCCTAGGGAGAGTAGCAGCAGTGCTGAACTTTCTCCATTTATAGACAATTTGTCTTACCGTGGACTGATGAACAGCAAGGCTTTTGGAGATACTTTTATAACCCTTTCCAGCTTTATGCAAGTCAACAATTCTTTATCGTAGGTCTTCTGAGAGCTCTTTTGTGCGAGGCATCATTCACATCAGGCAATGCTTCTTGTGAAAAGCAAACCCAGAACTGGTGTGTGTTTTTTATAGGGCAGGGCAGCTGTAACCAACACCTCCAATCTCATCTCATTGATTGGACTCCAGTTGGCTGACATCTCACTCCAATTAGCTCTTGGAGATGTCATTAGTCTAGGGGTTCACATACTTTTTCCACCTGCACTGTGAATGTTTACATGGTGTGTTCAATAAAAACATGGCAACATTTCATTCTTTGTGTGTTATTAGTTTAAGCAGACTGTGATTGTCTATTGTTGTGACTTAGATGATGATCAGATCACATTTTATGACCAATTTGTGCAGAAATCCATATCATTCCAAAAGGTTCACATACTTTTTCTTGCAACTGTACACATGTATTACTCCTTTTCTATAAATACAGTGCCAGCTAGAAGGCAGACTAATTCAGTAGTTCCCAAACCATTCCTCAAAGCACCAGTCCAGGATTTAGTCATTTCTCAGCCTAATCACCCCCAGGAAGGGTGCCAGGAATAACTTGCAAATCTAGTCATCAAGTAACCCATTAAACTACACTGCGCATGCGTTACAATCTCCATACTTCCCAAACAGGCTTCTTATAGAGAAGCATTGAATCCAGTGCTTCTCTATGAGAAAATTGCTTTCTGCTTTGAGGAAATACTCAAAGCAAGTAAGGAAGGGCATACCACAGGAGATTTTGAAAAACTAATGAGCAAGAGTACATAGTTTAATTTAGGAAGATATGAGTTGCTCAGCTGCCAGAAGATAGTTGAAATGGCTGTTCTGATGCAGTCGTACAGCCACTGAGCAGATGCTCAATATAATGCAACTTAGGGTATTTATATTTAGCTAGTTCATTTATAACGTTATAAAAATGTAAATCAATAAATTACTGTAACAGATTGGCCCTTTATATATTATTTTATGTTCGGCTGTCCATAACCCGTTCATTTACCGAACCAATTATGTGTGGGTCCCCAGATTCCTGTTGTATTTTGCTCACCTTGTGCCCATTATTGGTGCAGGGTATGTTAAATGTATTGCTTGTCTGTGCCTCTTCCCCTCCCCCTTTTTCCTGTCCCATTGTTTCCCAGCAGGGTGTTGTGCCAGGAACACTGCCAGACCTGTTTAAACTAGCTGCCTTGTCCCTCCTCAATCTCCCATCAGCCCTTGCTATTGTCTGACCCCACCCTTCCTTGTACTATAGTAATCTATGTACTCTATTGTATGTAAATGAGGCTGTTGGGGGTTTAAAACTATGTGTGCTATGCCTAGTAAAATCAGTTGACCCCCAGAACTATGTGTCGTCCAGTTACTGGGGGGATTGTGTTTTGGATATTGACCTGCTTCTTCAGCTACAAGGGGATTTAAGCGGAGATATTGATAGTATGTCTTGGAGCTCCGCAACAATTACCATGTGTCTTCAAAAGAGATAATTATACAGTTAAAACTATAACTTCAAATAAATAATTGAAAATACAGTTGTGCTCAAAGTTTGCATACCCTGGCCGACACTGTGAAAGATTGGCATTGATTTTGAAAATATGATTGATCGTGCAAAAAAAAATTATTTTATTGAAGGATAGTGATCATATGAAGTTATTTATAATCACATACTTTAGCTCCTTTATAAATCATAACAACAGAAAACACCCAAATGGCTCTGATCAAAAGTTTACATACCCTTTGATGTTTGGCCTTGTGACAGACACAGGTTAAAATAGCAATTACAGGTTAATTTCCCACACCTGTGGCTTTTTAAATTGCAATTTGTGTTTGTGTATAAATAGTCAATGAACTTGTAAGCGCTTAAGTGGATGCACTGAGCAGGCTAGATACTGAGTTATTGGGAGTAGAAAAGAACTGTCAAAAGACCTGTGTAACAAGGTAATAGAACTTCATAAAGATGGAAAAGGATATCCAAAGCCTTGAATATGCCAGCCAGTACTATTCAATCACTTATTAAGAAGTGGAAAACTCAGGGATCTCTTGATACCAAGCCAAGGTCAGGTAGACCAAGAAAAATTTAAGCCACAACTGCCAGAAGAATTGTTCTGGATACAAAAAAATCCCACAGGTGACTTCGGGAAAATTAAGACTGCTCTGGAAAAAGATGGTGTGGTTGTTTCAAATAGCACAATACGACGATACGTGAACAAAAATGAGCTGCATGGTCGAGTTGCCAGAAAAAAGCCTTTACTGCACCAATGCCAGAAAAAAAGCCCGGTTACAATATGCCTAACAATATCTTGACATGCCTCACAGCTTCTGGCATACTGTAATTTGGAGTGAAGAGACCAAAATAAAGCCTTATGTAATTTGTTTGAACTGTTTTCAAATGAATCTCAGTACTGGAAAAAGATACACCTGAAAATGACTAATAGTCAAAATTTAAAATTTAAAAGAGCAGTCTATGCAACAAAACCACTACAATTCTATGGGGCTGCTAGGCTATGGGAGCCATGATCCCATTTTTGAAAATGGTTTCACTCCAGTAACCTGCTAAATACATAACCACTGCAACAGCTGCATTCTAAATTTATTGAGTATGACTATTTATTTTAATTCTACCGACTCATAATTCTGCATTGCTATTCAGTGGGAAATTGGGCACGTACAGTCTTTCACTTAAATTAAGATGAATTAAATGTTCATCGCCAATATAAATAATCTCACTTTAAATTCTTTGTTTCGGTAACCTTAGTCTGCTTTATTATTTGCTGTTCTTATTGATCTAGATTTTATTTTAACAATTTTTTTGTACAAGCTGTTTACTTAAAACCGTATCATTCTTGATATGCTACATCTACCTATAAACTGGTGTCACACAACTTCTACAGTATATTTGTCTACTTCTACAAATCATAGAAGCCATAAAACATAAGTAAATGTTTACGTAGCATTATTGTAAATTTTTATTAGCTCAGATTGCTACATGAAATATATTGATGGATGCCCCACTCTATCAGCTAGTTATATAAGTTATGGGAGTTAAGATTCAACTGCTCATGTGCCAAACGTTGTCTGCACCTGGCATAGATCCTTATATAAATTCATTGACAATTAACTGCCCTACAGAGCAATGTTACCCTTAACGTTGTATTGGTCAAGGTTATATTGAACATCTGCTCAGTGGCTGTACGACTGCATCAGAACAGCCGTTTCAACTATCTTCTGGCAGCTGAGCAACTCATATCTTCCTAAATTAAACTATGTACTCTTGCTCATTAGTTTTTCAAAACATAAGACAGCATATTTGACTTAAATTATCTTATTTCTATGCAACACTCCCTTAAATGTAGGCAAAGTAAAGAAATATAAATACTCTGAAAGATTCTAAATGGGAGATTAAGATTAACATTCTCTTAAAGTGTGCTCTTTCTGAAGGAGAATGCTAAGAATCTGCTATTAAGACGACAGACAATTAAGTATTAAAACACAGTATTAGGCGGGGGCGGAGCCAGCTGCCAAGACGTGTTTTACAACAGCTCTGAGCCAGCCGGAGAAAATAACGATAATTAGGCGTAACACAGCCACATTTCCACATACCTGGTGAGCTGACCCTATTCCTCGACCGATGGGGCGAAAAAATAAGTATAAGGCAGATGGACCCCTGGCTACCGCCAATATCGGTGATCTTTTATGGAGGCCGCAGTCTGCCCTGAAGCCTGTCATGGCGCCCATCTCGGACGGGCTATCTCGCTCAAATAGCGAGGACTCCCTGGCTGATGAGGGAGAGATGCCATCACCGGTCGGGAGGAGACCCGAAGCCCAAGCAGAGGGCCCACCCGTGATGGAGCGCACCCTGAAAACCCTGCTAGAGGACTTCCGGCGCAATATAGCTGCTGACATTACCCTATTCAAGGAGGAAATAAGAGGGGCATTGGTGCGTCTGCATGACTCTGAAGTCACCACTGCAGCCCACGACGCCCACATTGCCAACCTGGAGCAGGAGCTCAGTGAGCTGAAACGCGACCAAGCACTGACCTCCATATAACTACCAAATGTTTAAAAGTAGCACCTGGGCAGCCATTGCTGCTCAGACACTAGAAAGACCTCAAACAATGGGGATAGGAACTGTGAGCATTGGGTGGAGATATTAAAATAAAGGCCAGTGGGTGGGATATTATATTTACCGGGGTAGGAACCTATTGTCCACATGACCCCTACGCACTTTCGGCTGGTGGGGCCCCGAATTATAATTTTTTTTTGCTTGGAGAACACACTGTAGTGTTCTACTCGCGAAACCCCATCAATAGGCAGCAGGTGAGGGACCTATTTATAGTATTAAAGGAGAGTGGATCTAGTATCCTACCCATAGCCCCAACCAATGGGTGGTAGGTGGGGCCTCTAAATAACTAAGCACCTCCCATCACTGGAATGGCCACCCCCCTGTTTTGCTAGGGATCCACAAATTCGCTACCCACCCACATTAAAATGAAATAACTATACCTATCCCTCCTGACTTTAGTAATAGTGAGGGTGGCCAATAAAACTAATGCCTGTAAAATTTAAAAAAATTCTTCCTTCTAACTTTTTTTCTAACATTTTCTTACTTGAATAAAGTCATAATTTTATTAAGGACTCATTTTTCTTTATTCCTGAGCAGCAAAGAAAGGATATTCAAATGTTAATAGAAAAAACAACAAACAACCCCCCAACGTGTTAACCATATAATGTATTAACCCATGCGAACAGTTCACATTACATAAAATCCCATGTGACTCTAAGCCACTCCTCTTTCTTGATTATGCCAAAGATCAACAAAAAACTGAAACAAGAAGAAGAACAGAAATCAACAATACAGCCAGAAACTCAAACGTCTTGAGTCATTGAAAAGGACATCCTCCAAGGGGAACGGGGCCATCGAACAGATCCGTTACATCAGTGGGAAGAAACCGACTCCCACGAAGCCAAAGTGATATTTCAAACTGAAAATGAACAGAGAAACAAGTGGTAAAATATGTTCCAAGTTAGCATCCCCAAATTATAATAGTAGAAGGTTCACTGTATTACTCTAGGCAACTTGAGAACACAATTTCAACAATACAGGCACATTAAAAAACAACTCCCATAGACCACAACGGGAGTGAAAAAATAAAACCATAACATACGTATTGTAGGGTGGGCAAATTTTCACCTCTGAGTCCTTAATAAAATCATGACTTTACGTCCTGTAATTAGTCAAATCTGGTAATTTTATTAAAGGACAGAGAGGCTAGTTCAAAGCTACAAAATAACTGTAGAGGAGAAATGTGAGGTTGGAAAGTAGTATTATTTAGATTTAGATTCACAAGACCAATCAGAAGGTTTGGCTTATCATACGATTAAAGGACCACTATAGGCACCCAGACCACTTCAGCTTAATGAAGTGGTCTGGGTGCCAGGTCCATCCAGGGTTAACCCTGCCTGCAGTAAACTTAGCAGTTTCAGAGAATGCTTATTTATGTTTAATATATAAAAAATGTGCTAAACAAATGTATACACTGATTTTACGCTGGCTTGCTTACAGTACGTTTTGATATGTATACAGTTATATCTCTGTCACCTATGAGCACAACAAAAATAAAAAAAATTTCAGAGAAACTGCTATGGGAAACTGCTATGTTTACATATGGGTTAATCCAGCCTCTAGTGTCTGTCTCACTGACAGCCGCTAGAGGCGCTTCCGCGCTTCTCACTGTGATTTTCACAGTGAGAAGACGCTGCCGTTCATAGGAAAGCATTGAGAATGCTTTCCTATGGACTGACTGAGCGCGCGGCTCTTGCCATGCATGCGCATTCAGCCGATGACATCCAAAGGAGGAGGAGAGTCCCCTGCGCCGAGGGAGCCCGGCGCTGGAGAAAGGTAAGATTTTAACCCCTTCCTCCAACTTCAGCCGTGCGGGAGGGGGGCCATGAGGGTGGGGGGACCTATTAATACTATAGTGCCAGGACGTCATCCTGCAATTTCTGCAGGGCATCATGATCTAGATCTACCTGCCCCACCCATATGTCATTGAAGGAAGATGGGACGGTAAAAGACTTACATAAGCCCACTGCCACAGGAGTTTCCCCTGGTCCCACGGGACTGCCAAGGTCTGCTCCTGACGGAAAAGAAGGGTGAAGGTGACTTGGCCTCTACCTGCCCCCCACATAGGAGGCTCCCCTGGTCCCACGGTACTGCAAAGGTCTGTTCCTGATGGAAAGGAAGTGTGACGGTGACTTGGCCTCTACCTGCTCCCCCCCATATGACAATGAAGGCAGATGGGACGGTAAAATACTCACATAAGGCCCCAGCCATAGGAGTTTACCTTGGTCCCAAGGGAATGCCAAGGTCTATTCCTGACGGAAAATAATGGTGAAGGTGACTTGGGCACCTTTATGTGGGTCTCTGCATCCACGGGCAATGAAAGCCCACATCAGCTGGTAAATTCTAGCATTAGGGCAACTTTGTTCAGCAATGAAGGTCACGGACATTCAAACTGTAAACAGTTGGGGACCTTCTTCTCCACGTGGGCATAAATTTCAAGAGGCTGGGGGCGGGGCCTGACTGCCATACTGAGTGGTCACATTCACCTCGATCTCCATACAGAATCTTATAATTAGGCTATTTTACTGATTTTCTACTCGTATACCACAGTAATTTAGGTGCTGGAGATGATCAGTGATCACTCAGGACTTACTTTGCCACAGACTCAGCCTGAGTCTGACAAAGTATTGCGGCCTACAGAGGGGTGCAGGTGGGATAGGCGGCCGATCTCCCTGCTGACCATCCTGCTGGTGGACACGGTCAGAACCACAAAACCCCCCTGCCGGTGTGGGTTATCCCGGCACACACTCCCAGTCTTAGGATTACTTGCCTACTGCTGGTGGAACCAGGCTCCTACTACTTGAGTTCTGTCTCACTGCTTAAACCAAGATGGCAGATGCCATGCTGGCTACCGCCTCAGGAAGCCTGTCGGAGACACTCATGACGAGGCTTGATGACCTCTTTCAAAACTTTTGGCTAAAGCTGTGGCACAGACAAAACCAGACTGCAGCGATGGAACAGTGTGCAAGTTTGGTGCATGACTCACCTCCTGATGCTCTAGACCCCACAGCTGATACTCCTCGGAGGCTCCGACCCGCTTCCAAAGAGCAAAAGAAAAACATGAGGAAAGCTCATCCAGCTGTAGCCCATCTATTGCATTCCTGAGCTGAGGGCCGCGAGAGCGACAACCCCTCAGCAAGTCTCACATCAATCGATGGCAACCTCTAGGGACTTTGCTCGTGGAGCCAAAGGTGACTGTAATGGATCACCTGGCACCCCGACTGGGTACCTCCGTTGAAGGATGCTCCTAGCGCTTCCTGAGGACTCCAAGCACTGCAGCAGACACCACAACCACCGAACCGGAGAAGCATCCGAATGCTCTCAAGCATGTGAATGCTGTAAGCAGCTGAACAGGAAAAGCATACAATCAGCTTACACTCCTGGCAATCAGCATACAATCCAATTTCCCCAATAACGAGACGACACTTCGTTTTGAGGTCAAGCAGAACTGACTGTACTGGCATATACAGCCTCTTTTATTCACAATCCACAAACATAGTACTGCCCACAGGGTTTTGAAATACAACCAATCAATCCGTACAATACACACAGACACTCCCACACAAAATCCTCCCCTCTGCCTGTGATATGATTACTGAACACAATGGGTAATATAATTATCACAGGCAGAGAAATACAGTTTTTACAAAATATTAATAACTTCCAAAATATACATGCCATTCACATAAAACATACATTTTCAGAATCCGCATGCTTGAAATATACACATACTCAAAAATCAGGGCAATCGGTTCAGGGGTTAAAAAGTTAAGGGAAAGTCCTATTTGACAAAATGAAGCATGGTTTTTCTGCCCAAAACCAGTTCCACAGAGTCTTCTATCCTGGAGATAATTGGGAAGTAATCCAATTATATCTGAGGACAGAGGCCCCGGTGCTGCTGCTGGAGGGGGAGACCGACTGTCCCTACACCCTGTGGTTTGGGCACAAAGACCACGGTCCCATCTGCACCGGTGTGGGGCTTATCTCCTTGGTGGGCTAGGCTGCCGCTGGGGAGAGGGAATGAGACTCTCCCCCCTGGTAGAATACTCTGCCGCTGGGGAGCAGGACCGACTGTCCGTACTCCCTGTAGCTTGGGCGCAGAAACCACGGTTCCATCTGTGCTGGTGGGGGGGCTTAGTGTCTCCCCTTGGTGGGCTATGATGCCGCTGGGGAGATGGGGTAACAAGCTCCTCTCCCTTACACACTTTCAGCCGCTGGGGAGGAAGGACGGCACCTTCGGCTCCCTGTGATACATACTGCCACTGGGGAGGAAGGACAGCACCTTCAGCTCCCTGTGATACAAACTGCCGCTGGGGATCTGGGCCGACCGCATAGCATCCCTGTAGGGCCGGTAGAGAGACCGCCGTCCCATCTCCACCTGCCATCTGTGGGTCTTCCCAGGACCAGTCTGTGAGGTCTCTCAACATTTGTGAGTAAGGACCACCTGCTTCCGCACCTCGCAATAGCCGGTTGCTGCTGGGGATCTGGGCAGGCTGCCCAGCATCCCGGTGGGCCCAGTGGAGAGACCTCGGTCCCATCTCCACTTGCCTGTTGTGGTTCCTCACAGGACCAGTCTATGAGGACCCCTACTTCGGGTTCCTCCGGCCGCCTCAGGGGAAGATGGCTAACCTCCTCGGATGCAGCCTCTACTCGGCTGCTGTAACACTCCTTCCATTGGGCAATGGCCAATGTAGAACAGCCTCTAGTTTATGAGGATCCATCTGAAAATCAAAGGCAGAAATGTTATACCCCAAAAATGGTACTTCAGTCTGGTCAAAGATGCATTTTTCCAGTTTGCAACAAATTTATTTTTAAGTAAAATTTGCAATACTTGTTTGACATGAGTCTGAAGGTCAGGGGAATAAATAAGGATATCATACAGATAAA